CTTTCCAATTGTAAGGCCACATTGGAGACATGGGATTTTTTAAAACTTGTAATCCAAAAGGAATGTAATGACAGGTACATGATGTAATTATGATTGTTGCCCTATTGTTACTAAGCAAACGACTGAAACGTCCATTAAACCCCCTGCTTTCCACATTGTATAATCTGCTGAGGAAACGCTATCCAACATTCAGTTAACGGAAAGCCCAATTAAATTGGGAGAACACACAAATAACCTAATAAGACATTTTAGCTACCCTATAGAGGTCCTGAGAACCAAAGAATCTAGCAACTACTTCAATTTTCTGATTTCATAAAGGGCCTATTTTTTAGTGTGACTCTGTGATAATACCAAAAACAGGGGCCAGCTTCCACATAATTTTATAGATGCTGCAAACTGCAGTGTACTACATAAAACTACTGAGATTCAGCACTTTTAGCAATGTGCCAAGTTCCTTGCTTGTGTTTTGATGTCAGAGTTTGTACTCATCTGGCTAAATCCCTAGAATTATTTCTCTGACTCCCAGGAAAAGTTCTGCCAGTGTCTTTCACTTTGACCTTTCTGATCAAAAGCTGTGGGAAGGAGGAAAAAAGCACAGCTTCAGGAACTTTAAAGCAACTTGTGTCATTGTTTTTACCAGTAGTGAAGCTTTTCACCAGCAGTCTGGCATAACGCCACAAAACTACAGTACAGTGTTTTACCAGCTTGCGTGCCCATTACAGCATGCTGTGAGTTGCTCTCTATTTCTGGTCATTTAAGAGATGCACTGCATGTGGCATCCATAAATAGGCCCTTCAAGCTGTTTTTCCATGCTCTTGAAAAAGTCTAACACACAATAATAAATATCACAATTGTTCATAAATCTTTGTCAGGACTCTATGTGTACAAACATAAAGTACATAGAAATTGGGTCAGATACTCTTTTGCACATTAAAATGAGGAACTCCAAATGCAGCTTCACTTTCCCATGCCTGAATATGGTGGGACACAGGCAGAATGCCTCCAATGTGTCAGTTACAATACATTGGCATTGCCATATAACCATATTTTGCTTCAGCAGTTGTCACAGAGCCCTTCTTAGTCCTCCTGCCAACCAATTTCCAGACAGTTGCAGAACGGAGCTCAAAGTAAAGATTACGAACTGCGAGACGTCCGACAGTCTTCTGGAGATCAAAGCGCTCTCCCTCGAAGTACAGTATGAGGATCATTCCAGCCTAACATCAAGGAGAAGATGGGAACAAGAAGTTAAGCACTTTATATTTTGTTGCAAAAGAACAGGGTGGCATCGTGGCAGTCAGTGGAGATTCTGCAAGACTTCACCAGCACAGTGATAAAAATACAAAAACAATATTCTTACCAGCCAAGTCTTACTTATCCTCTCCAGACATTCTAAGGCACAGAAAGATGCAGGATATTTGACTATTATTTGAAGATGTTTTAAAGGTAGCTTTCTCACCTTCTTGAATCATGGGTTAACTTGACATTGATGGACTTTCATTCTGCTAGATATGCTTTAGCTGAAAGGGGCAGACTTCGAATGATTATTTTTTGCCAACCTGAATGTTTTATGTCAACATTAAAAATATAGATAAACAAAGATTGAACTATTCATACACTATTATTTTACTGGTTTTCAAAGTGTCTTTTTGGAACATTTACCTTTCTGACCAAAAGATGAAGTTCAATTAATTCACACAAAACTCTTAATGGAACCAACAGGCTGAAGGCTCACAACTAGCAGAAGGAGAGCTTTGCTACCAGTAATATTTTTTTCTGGTTTGTCGCTCTGTGTAAAAGAACTACATTATCTTTGCTCTGATGAGGAGTTAAAAATAAATGACAAGTGCCAAACCATCAAATCTACTGCCAATCACACCTCCCAACTGGAATAAAAAAAAAATCTTTAAAGCCTATCTCTAAAGATTGTCCCGGGACAGGTCACTTCAGAGGCTATAAATAAAGAAAAAGCTGAATCTCTAAACATGGCTTTACACTAGTTTGGAAATGTTCCACTGAGTATCGTACTGCTTCAAAATATCTTGGCACCACGTTGTTTTGGCTGGAGGTAGTATTAAATTCCTCTCTTCAAGAAGAATTAAATCTTAAACAACAATAGAAGCAGTAACCTCCACAGTGTCATAACAAACATAACGAAACCCAGAAACAGCTTCATCTTTAATTCCTTTTCCCTGGCAGGAAAAATACATAAAAATGGCACAGCACAGCAGGGAAGCTCTTTCGGCTATTGAATCTTAAGTTATGAGCACATGGCCAAAGTATTTCAGACTCAGTAACTATATTTAAAAAAAATATTTTAGAGTGTCTAACACAATAGCTCTTGATACCCACAATGGACACATTTCTGCAAAATTACTGTTAGCAACAACGTGGGCTTGCTTTTCCACACGCCATGTTTGAAGACAGATCAGCAGAAACTGTGCTGCAAAAGGATTTTTTCACTGTTGAAACATTTTTTTTAAAAAAGGAACCCGTCAATATTGTTTTAGTTTAAAGTTTAAGTTTAAAGTGGGCTTTTCATGCCTACATTATTTTGATCATTGAAGTTAGAAAAGAAGCTTCTAGCCCCATTTGTAAAGCATGATAATTCTTTTTAAAATGATAATATCTTCAAAGGTTATTTTAAGAGATGCAAAGCAAGCAGGAAAAGAAAGTCATGCCAAACAACTGCTGAATCATTGATCTACTTGTAGATATTGTATTTAATTTTTCAGGCTATTTGAATGTCCCTAATTGAATATAGGGTACAACATTTAAATGAACATTGAGAGTTGTTTTCAAACTCCTAAAAAAAACACATACAAATTTGTATTACTGTTTAAAGTTTGCAGGTTTTCAAATATCTATACATATTTGTTATAGATAAAAATATAAACATATTTAGCTTCAATGAGCACTGAGTTGACTTCCCTGTTAATGTCTGAGTTATCCTTTCACTCAGCCTTCATTAGTGCTATAAATGGGTAGACTACCCTAAAGAGTATCTGCACAATACTGAAATGACAGATGTACAGTAATTAACAAGCACCAGCTGATTACACTGGTAGTTGTAGTAAAAACAATATTTCCTACACACGACCCACGCTGCTTTGTTTAGGTAGTCCAATGACACAGATCATCAGCTTCTTCGTTATTGCATTGCTTGGTGTGTCGAGACGTTAATTACGAGGTGATAACGAGGCAAGAACCAACATTTCTGTTTAGCGGCATCAACACACAGAGTTAGGGACTGTAATGCACAAGAAATTTTCATGCCACTGATGTTGTTGCTTATTAAGCAGCAAGATAACCCACTTCACGGCAAGCAAATTAAAGTGACGCATTTGGTATGTTATGCTGTTTTTTTCTTCATGAAAGTCAAAGCTAGAAAGCCCTCAAGAATAACATTTTCACTCTTGTAAATATGCACAGTAGGCTTTTCAGAATCAGCATAGCCCTGCTAGAGAGAGGTATAATCAGTTGATTGAGTTTTCATCTCTCCTTCTAATTCTGTTAAAGGCATGGGTGGCATTTATAGATGGGACTACCTACAGTACAGTTACCCGCTCCGATTAACAGCTGCACTGAAGAATCAGAGCTAAAAGTATTTTAAAGCACACGACCTCAAGATACAGTATGTGTATGAAGCCGCAACACTTAAACTTTACACTATTTACAGTGAGAAGCTGTACTTCAGGGACACCTTGGTGCGTTGTTTACATTTATTCTTCTAATGCTATTGAAACACCTATTCCTTCTAAACTCATAATAAACTACAAAACAGAATAAACAAGGCAAACTACTGTGTTGCCCGTCACTGTGATCTGCAATAATAATCAGAACCACCACCACAACAACAACAATAGTGAGTGAAAAATATTTACATTGTATTTCATAATATTTCAATATTATATTAGTAATATTTTAATGATATTTTTATATTGCATTACAAATGCCACATGATTTGCCACAATACAAAAAAACAACACAGATCTCTGCGGGGCGGAGTGACTGAAATGGACTGAAACAGCCTGCTGTCGCACCGGCCACGCTGTTGTCTGATCACGCATGCCGGCTCTGGCTCAGTCCTGCTGTCTCACGGAGCGGCGGTGGGGCAGTGCGGCGGTGCGGGAGCGGTGCGCCCAGGCGGCGACCCCCGCCGGACCGCGGACCGTCCCCTCCAGCCAGCGCTCCCGACCGCACGACCGTTATCCTGCATCCCTCGCACCAACTTTTCTCCCACTTCTCTCTCTCTTTCTCTCAACTCCCAAGTTTTATCCGTGTACTCCGCGTATCCCGGCTTCAAAACACGCGTGAAAATGTCCCAGCTTGAGCTCTCTCTAACCACGCAGTCACCGATATTCGCCAAATACGTCTTGCTACCAATCACCCGACAAAACTTTTTTTGGGGGGGTCGTCGTCGTAGCTGAGGTTCCCCAGAAAACAGACGGCGAAACACCCGTCTCACATCCGGACTTCAGAGTTTATATATGTATACTGCATATTAAGTTAAGAAGCAAGCAAACGCCACCTTTACTTTTTTTTTCCGACCCAAAGATTTCAAAATGTAACGTACAGCTCAGAACAGATATTTATTCTTCGCCTTTGGGAAAGCATATTAATAATAAGAGCCAGGGTGTCCCGTTATCTCGCGAATATTGCTTGAACGGTACAGTATGTACCGTTATCTTCCCCCAAACCCAAAGCTGCAATAAAGACAGCTTTTATCACTGCACACTTGCGTTGCTCTTCAGCTTTGCAGCAGAATAGGTAGCTAATTGTAACAACAATAAAACAATAAGCAGCCCACGTTGAGTTCATCTGATTTTTAAAAAAAAGCTCTATAGCTGGGTCTTTCTAGCTGTTCTTGTACCAATTTCGTGTAGCTGCGGATAATGGAAACGCACACCCCACAGAGAAAGGACGGTAAAGTTCAGAGGGGAAAAGAAGAAAATATCGTTACAGCTCAATACATGAAACAGCCCATTTCTGCATAGACTCACAGTGTGCAGAGAAGAGGATCGCAAATCCTGCCAGCCTTGCTTTCGCCATCTTGTTGAGTTGCTCAATGGATTATCTGCCCGTACATGCGCAAAATAGAGGGGTTAGCTTTCAGATGATAGGGAGGACCACTGGAGAGAGGGAGGGGAGAGTCTGTTGTCGAGAGTTTCCATAGCTACACGCATCGTTTTTAAGGACAGCCTTTCCCCAAAATTTACTTTTTTTCCCCTCCCAAACAGGATTAGTGGTTTTTACCGTTACAGTTCTTGATTTTCGTCTTATAGTTGTGCTGTAAATTATTTAGACAACATTTCTCACGAACTGGCTGATGAAAGGTTTTTTTAGGGGGCTTACAGGACATTTTCTTAAAGTCAAGTATTAACCTCTTCCTGCGTGAATATTTTTCTCGCCCGCAGTTATGTTTCAAAGGTCTAAAAAGTGGCAGGCTCTTTACATTTATGTAGATGCCTAGCGGATCTCACTAACCTAGTTCAAAGCTTAATCTTCATAATCTTCATATTATGGACCAGAGAGTGTACATCAAGCTTATTTTATTGTTTCGATCAATTCTTATTGGACAGCACCTCAGAAATGTAAGGTGTGTGATCTTTTCCCAATTATAATTCTTCTTCAATAAACTACTTTAATCAATAGTTTTCAATTATTTGTTTTGATGTTTAATTTCTGCTGAAACAATGACACAGTAGACAGATAAGCACATTACCCAAAGATATATAATCACTTCTAATTATATCAAGGTAGTATAATTTTTAGTACTCTTACTGTCATAATATAGAAGATAGAAACTGTATACAGTATATGAGATTCATTTCACCCCCAGAGTTAAATGGTGTCGGCCTTAAACTGCAACCAGCAATAGACTCAGGCACACTGTGCCTAAGCAATAATTTGACTTGTCTTCAAATAATGCCAGACTGGAAAAAAATCCATATTCCAGGGATGAAGTGATGAGCAATATCTTTCAATATCTATTCTGTCCCATTGTATTTTTGAAAGGCTCTTTGAATCTCACATGGATTTAATCTCCACACAGCCACTAGCACAATAAAATGATAAAATTCTGTATGCAGAACACATTCTTTATATAATCTTGTACAAGATGTGTTTTAAAAACCTGCAGGACCTACAGTCCTTGTGTTTTATGGATCTGTCAGTGAAAAAGCAGCATCACCTGTGTATCTTTCCTCTTCAGTGTCCTACATTTGTTCAGCTTGCTGTAAATATACTTCTTGTGTCGGATTCAGCACTTTTAGTCATTTTGAGTGTTTATCTATGTCAATGTTCCAGCAGAAAATAAAAAAAGGAGAAAGTAAAAAGAAAAAAGAAAATTCTATGTTTGAATGTCACACCTTTAATCAAAACTATTGATCAAAGCTTGTATTTTTACATGGGAATAGATCACACACCCAACATGTTTTAGATGCTGACCAATGAGAACTGATCAAACCAATAAAATATGCAAATAATGAGGCACATGCTCTAGTCAATAATTGAAGAACAAAGCAATATTTTAACCAGATTAGTGAGATCTAACACAAATGTACAGTACAACAGTACTGTATATCATGTTCATAGACCATTAAAACCAAGCTGCAGTGAAGACATCAAGAGTTCTTGGGCAGGAACTTGGTGAGAAATGTACTGTAGTCTCTCTCATTACAGTAAAACTTAAATGTCTGTCTTGTGCTGCGACACATTTAATTTTCTTATATTATGTTCTGGGTTCTTTTGCCCTGCAACACAGATTTTACCATCTCTTTAGCTACCTGTTAAAAAATTTAAACTGCTTCCATACAACGTCCTAATGACAGATGTGTTAAGAATACTAAGAAAAAAGAATTTCTTGCTCTTAAAAAATTAATTAAGCATGTCCACCAAAGTATGTTGTCTGTACCAGCTTTTTATTTCTGTCATTGGGATCTGGAGTCTTTTTCAATATTTCTTCTTTTAACTTCAGTTTATTAACATATATTCTGCAAGGAATAAGGTACTGTAGATATCAATTTCATTATTGGACTGATTGTTCAGAGCTGTCACTGATCTATTACTCGATTCAATTTTGGAGGAAATCCAGCACTGAGAAGAATAGCTGCTCAATCTTGCTCTAATGGCAGTTTATAGAAATGACTTATGTTGGCATACTCTGGGGATATTTCATTTAAGACTGTGATGTAAAATATTTTAGTATGGTAGGTTTTGCCATCAGTCTCACTCCGGTTTTGCTTCCAGCATTCATGATTGGTTTGGCAGGGGCCTGCTGTTTTCTTAAGCTGGTACTTTGAATTATTGCCTGCATTGCATTTCATTATTTTCTTGCAACACAGATTCTGTTTGTTTTGTAACTTTTGCTTTGACCACTGAGCTCACTAGTTTTCACAATATTATGTTCAGTATACAGTATACAGTTTTTTTTTTTTACATTTTGCCTTTGAAATATTTTCCGGAATGGCACACCTGTGACTTCAAACAAGACCTATACTTCATTTCAGGAAGCGCTATTTTACTGATTTAAAAAATAGCTCTGTTAAATCCAGATCATGAAATGTTTTGATTAAACTTTGATGATATGGTCCAGTGATAGAGAAATAAAACTAAAAATGTAAATATACTACGACTTATTAAAATAGACATGAGTGAGTGATAACGTTATTAGTTGAATTAAACAGGTACGTATGCAGTCTTCAGTTCTTATAAACTGTAGAAAGGGTCTTTGCCAGAGCAGGTAAAAAACAGTTTTTTGTTGCATGCTGGGAAAAGTATGCTTGCATAAACTAACACACTTTCCTTGTGGGAAAAAAATTCAAAAAGCCTCAAAATGAAAGGTGTAGTGGCTTCTTCAGAGCTCGCACCATGGGAAGGCTAACAACTGCAGATCTTAATCTGTCGACACAGCACAGGGCTGATGACACAGTGTCCCGAGAAATGCTCCAACTTTCTCAGGCTTAGGAAAACCTCTCTGTGACACAAGTTATCTGCACAGACACGGTGGGTGGCATCTGAGTGAGAGGGGCATCTGTTGGCCTGAGGCAAGGATCGACAGAGAAATTCAAAAACATTGAAGGGAGAGTGGCAGTGGGGAGAATGAGGATGGTGTCAGCAGGGGAGAAGCAGAGGGAGAGGAGTCACAAAGAAAACTCACATGAGAAACAAAACTGCAAAGGACTGGGTAATTAAGTGCTCGTGAAGTGAACCTAAATGCCATTTATCATTAGGAACAAAATCCAAGAAGAAGAAGGGGCTGCCTTAGTGTGTGACTTAACTGGAATCACGAAACTTTCTGCTAACAGAATGGCAATGAATACAGCATGAGTGGATACGCAGCGTTCAGAAGATGAGGCAGCTGAAAAAGGTGAAGACGATGGCACTGCTCAACAAAATAGCATCAAAGGACAAGGAACTAACCCAGATCAGTAGTTTCAGCGCTGAGCCTGCTGAAAGCCTGTCTGCTGATTTCAGGTCCAGCTGACCTCTTACTCACTGATAACTAGCACCTTTAATGTATCTGTTTCTCCTGCAGAGGATCGGCTGGTCATGTCTGAGATATTGTGCTGGCAGATAGTGTGCTGGCAGAGTCCAAAACCAAGTTTACAATTTCAGGAAAGCAGACAATGAAGAAATGAGATATGATAAAATAGATATTGAGATCCAGAGAAAGGATGCCCACAGTTTAAATACTGTATATTCTGCTTCAAGCATAAAGAAGGAACAAAATGAACTTAATGCACTGGTAAAAAGGATTTTTAAAAAGGTCAAGAGAGAAATAGAAAATAATATTGTAATGGAGGCTGTAATAAAATCAGAAAAAGTTTTCAATATTACAGAGGCAAAAGCAAAATAAAGAATGAGGTGTCTCTGAGATAAAAATGAGAAACCGTAAAAACAATAAGAAGGAAATGGTTTATATATATTAAGGTGTTTATTGAGGTGTTTACTAAGAAAGAAAATGCCAACATGCCACAGACTGAAGGAATCTAAATCGAAATCTGTCTATTAAATAATATTAGTATGGAAGAAAGTCACTCACTAGAAACCTTTGTAAAAGTAAATCATCAGAGCCTCCACAGGAGGTAGCAGTTCACAGTTGTACTTACTTAATGAAAGTATAAAGGAAGCAATGATATTCATAGACTGTTAATCAAACTTTTCCAACAGTTGCTCAAGACACACACTGATTGGAATTGTTAATGTTGCATCCAGCCATCCAAAGAGTGACAAAACCAAATCAAGTAATTAAAGATCAATTAGTTTTACTTCTATTGTTGTAAAATTCTGAACATGTTAATTCAAACTAAACTAGAAAATTACTTGCATGGATAGTCAGTGTCTAGGGTTACTCAGCTAGTCAGAGTTTTCTGAGTAAGCCATACCATAATTGATAAAAACACATCATACAATACAGTATATTTAGATATTCAAAGGATTATTATAATGTTTCCCATAAAAGAATAATTCTCATGTTGCAGGTGGTAGGTATTCAAAGGTTATAAAAATCAGGTCTGAAAATTAATTATTTTAGTTTCAAAGTTTGTTATTTGAAGGTCTTCTGAAATCAAAATCTACATTTCGTATACGTACTGTATAAAGCACAGAACGTTTTTGCATTTCTTCATAAAATTAAATTTCGTTGACTAAACATCTTTATACAGTAGAGCAAATTGTTAACTATCTTTTGGGATAATAATTGGGATCATTGTCATGTTCATTTACTCCATGGACTTGAGTCAAAGTGGCAGGAAAAGAAGGGTTGGATGAGACGTTGACTCTCAGGACATTGTCACTGCCCGTGTGGGTGGCTACAGTGGGTGGACGCCTAAGGGACAGATGTGGCCTATTTCCTTGAAAACTGTGGAGTCTTAGCTTGAGATCACATTGACTAATATTCCTCTGCGTAGGTCAGGGAACTCCAGTTTCACACGTGTTTTTTCAGATTTTATTCTCATGTAGCAAACACATACTGTACTGTAGCAACTCACACTAAAGCTGACCACCTGAGAGTCATGAAAATGTCACTGCAAACACTATTAATTAGGACTGGCAATGCTCATGTTGCCTTCAGCTTGCTGTCCTCGCTCATATTTTCT